AGGGACCTTCATGAGCCAGACAGGCCTGGCAGCACTGCTTGCTGCCCCACTGCTGCTGATGCCTTGGGGAGCCTGAGCTAGAGCAGAGACCAGACAGAGTTCAAGAATAAATAAGGATTTATTAAAAGGCCTCAATGGATCCACCTTGGGCAGCACAAGAGCCCAGCCAGGGCTGCACCCAAGATGAACCAAAATGGGCACAAAATGCACGAGCGCTCACGGGGTCTCTCACTTTTATAAGTTCTGCTCCATTTGCAAATTGCAGTTCATTGTCCAATTCCAGCTTTAGCCCCTGCAGTCCCATCTTTCTTGTTTTTCTCTCTTCAGCCCACATTGTTTGGGCCTGAGATTTGGATCATTTGTCCTTGGTCCCCAGCTGGAGCAGGAATTGTTTTGTCTCCCTGCTCTGTGCAGAGCTCACCATCCCCTGATGTGAAGCCCAGACCCACACACTAAAGCAGCACAGAATCTGAAAAACACAAAAGCTAAAACCTGAGCCATCACTGCCTCATCACACCTGGGCTGCATCAAGCTCCAGCAAATGGAGACACAACATTGCCCTGGGAGCATGCCACCAGGAACAGGCTTCATTACACAGGAGGGATTTGCAAGAAAAACCTGAATTGCCCAGTTCCAAGTTCTTTTCCAAACACTTCCCTGGGTGCCTCTGGAGCAGATGATTGAGGGCTCCCACAGGGATGTGATGCTGCTGCTTTATTTCAGCCCCATTATGGAATTTCAGTACTGAGGGAGTTAATGAAATGTTTGTGGCTGCACACCCAGCAGAGAGCTGGGCTCCCCCCACGCAGGGCACAGCAAGGGTAGCTCCCCACGTGCTGCAGGTGCCAGGGGTTTGCCACAGCACCCAAGGAGGTGCCCAGCAGCAGAGCAGGAGGGGGATGACCCTGGCACTGCACCAGTGCCACCCTGGCAGCTGTGCAGCACCACCCAAAGTGACTGCTTTCCAGAGTTCTGTGAGCACTGGTGCAACGCTCCTCCCGGCACCACTGACTCCTGAAAGTCTGGTCTGTCAGTAAACCAGAGCTCATTAAAATGACTTTGTAATTACTGACATCCTCTATGTCGGACATTATCCTTAAAAAATATGGTGTGGGAGCAGGTGCCTAGGGAGAACAGCTTGTAAGTGCCCTCCATTGTTACAGAAACTCCAGAAACCTCTGAACAACCTCATGTCTCTCCTCATCCCCCTTTGCTCCTGCTATTGGGGCTCTGGAGGTGGCAGAAAAAAGGAATCTCTAGCTTCCATGGGCTTCCATGGGCTTCTTGCCATGCTGTGACAGTGGCTCTGGGACACACCTGGACCTGCTGGCAGAGCACAGCTCCTCTGCTTTTGTCTGTGTCCCTCCAGGGGTGGCAGCTGCCCAGGAGGAGCTGCTGTGCCCAGCGATAACAGCTGCTCTTTGTCTGATGCTGAAGGTGCTTGTCAGCCTCAGGAAGATAAAAAGGCTGAGGTTATTTAGAATTGTGTAATTCAGTGGCTCCTGTGCCTCCCAGGCAGCTCTTGCTGCTGTGCACATGGCCCCGCTCCAAGTGGCACGCCACAAGTGCAGGGGCAGCTGAGGTCACCCACGGTGGGTGCTGCTGGCTGGGCCACTGTCACCCAGCCCTGTGCCAGTGTCACCCAGCCCTGTGACAGTGTCACACTGCCCTGTGACAGTCACACTGCCCTGTGCCAGTGTCACCCAGCCCTGTGCCAGTGTCACCCAGCCCTGTACCAGTGTCACACTGCCCTGTGCCAGTGTCACCCAGCCCTGTACCAGTGTCACACTGCACTGCTCCAGTGTCACACTGCCCTGTGCCTGTCACCCAGCCCTGTGCCAGTGTCACCCAGCCCTGTGCCAGTGCCACCCAGCCCTGTGCAGAGTCACCCTGCACTGCTCCAGGGTCATCCAGCTGTGCCTCAGCTGGGCCACAAATCCCCACATCTGTCTCACCATGGCACCCCTTGGCCAGCCAGTACAATAAAACAATGAATTATGTGCCTTGAGTGCAGCATTTTCCCTCTGCTCAGCGACATCCCCACCCTCACAGGCCAGCCCCTGTGTCAGACTGACACTCCTGGTGTCACACTGCACTGACACTCCACAGTGCCAGCCTGTCCAAGGCTCTCTGCTCCCAGGGCTGTGGGAGGGATTCCCTGAACAGCCCCTGGCCCACAGGCCAGGCCATGCACCTTTCTGACACCACAACATGCACCAGCCAAGAAAAGCAGGTGCTTTTTCCTCCCCACAAAGTGTCAGTAGCAAGAAACCACCCCTCCAGCTCCTCTAGAGATGTCAGCCCACCTTAGCACAGATGGCATTTAACAGAAAAAGGCATCATTTCACACCTTGATGCTACTAAAACTGTCCCTTACTCACCACATGCCACCTTTGATAAAGTGGTATTTTCCCCCAGAACACTGAAATGACCCACACAGACAAACCAGGGCAGGATTACTGGTTGGTTTTACTCAGGTATTTAGATATCTCTTTATTGCCAGCTTCAACCGTGGTTCAATAAATACAAAAATTTAAAAAAAGTCAATAGATTTTTATTAGCATTTATAGTAACTATTATTATTATTATTATCATTATTAATAAATATTCCAAACCAACTGAGATTCCCTGGAGATGTCTGACTATAGTTCAAACATGAGATGCACACAGAGTCCCTTATAATATTATATTACATTTGTCTCAAACTTATAAAAATATATATTGACTTCTCAAGTGTGTATTTACAGTACTGAAGATGTGGCTAATGAATATAAAAGCATCTGGAGATGAACCAACTTGATTCCCATTTGGTTTCTTGGGAGGGGAGTGTTGCAGATGCTGCTCCAACAGGGCTGGGGCTGTCCCAGCCCGTGGAGAAGGCAAGAGCCTCATGACCTGCCAGGGGCTGGATGGGGAAAATCAGGGTCATTTTGAGGCATTTCCCTTGCAGCTGCAAAGCAGCATTGCTGATTAATTTAATTATACTACTTCCCCAAGGAGAGAAGCTGAGAGGATGCGAGTTAATTTTAATATCATAACAACAATTTAATAGCTTAATCTATGAATTTTGTTATCTCGTGTTGGTGAGGAGCTCAATTAAAAGTGTTTATTCTTGCAAAAAGCTGGGCTAGAAGGCTGCTTCCATGGGGGGCTTTCCTTTCCTTCTCATAGGAGAGGCCAGGAAAGCTGATGACTCCTGTTTCTGCTGGGTCAGAGCCCATCCCAGAGCTCAGCTCCTGTGGGACCCCTCCACACAGCCACAGCTACTTCCCCCAGGAGCCAGCCCTGGCCACTGAGCCCAGGGAAACAGCCATGGCCACAGGTAACTGTGCTGAGGTATATCCCTTTCCAGCTGGGCACATCCAGAGGCACAGAAAAGCAGATTCCAGTGGCCACAAGTGGCACCCAGAGCTGGCCCCCTCTCACGTTCCGTGTTCTGGAGGCAGGGTCTGTTCTGGGGGACTCGAGGGAACACGGCTCTGCCTGCCCATGGCCAAGTTTGCTTTCCAAACTGAGGCACACTGCCACCCCATCACCATGCCCTAGATGTCTCCAGACCTCCTTGAGAGCAGGTGAAGCAGCCTGGAGCCAGCTCCTCCAGCAGCAGCTTCCCAGCACGGCTCCTGCATCCCAACAGACAGCACGAGCACGGGGGGAGAGAAGATCCAGAATCAAGCTGGTTCAACCCCCTGCCTAGAGACCTGTAATATACTTTCTCTAGAGATAAAATGTAAACACAGAGAGCACACAAATTGCACTTGATCCTTGGGATCAGGCATTTCACTAAATGCAGGGCTTGGTTCACTGCTATTGCTCTTCAGGCTGGGAAACAGTGGGATGGCAAGTGACCAACCTGACTGGAATGGGCCAGACTTAGAGAAATGACTTCTGTTAAAAACACTAACCAAGAGACTGGGGAGGGAGCATGGTTTGAGCTGCAGAGGGGGCAGGAAGGAGAGGTCTTGTTTTCCTCAGAGAGCAACAAACTGCCCAGAGCACATGCAGCACCTCCTGGGCAGAGTGGTCACCCTGCCAGCCCCAAGGGCCCTTCACTCAATCCTCATTCACCTCCTCAGCCTCTCAGAGCAGCTGACAGGAGGGTCTGACTGGAGCACATTTCCAACCAGACTCTGAGCATCTCCCACAGCCTTCATCCCCTGTGTAAATCTTTGCCTTTCAGCATTAATAATTCACTTGAGACATTTACAGATCACAATAAAGCCTTACAAAACTCCATACAGAGCTGCAAATACCCATTTAATTAACTAACTTCAAGGAAAATTGTATTATTAATATGCTATTTATGTCTTCTCAGGGATCAGGCTGCAGCTCTGGGAGCTGCCAGCTTGTGAGGCAGGCAGCAGCATGCTCACAAAACAATGTGGATTGCATGGATGCAGCCAGCACCATTTCCTCTGTGCTTTACTGGAGAATATTTGGTTTTGTTCACCAACTGAGGTGTCAAAACTCAGTGAAGTAGCTCATGGAGCAGAAGGGATGCAACTGGGAAAGAGTTTCCTTCAGCACAGATGGGGAAAGTCACCTTCCAGGAGTTGGGCATTGGGTGAGAGCTGCTCTCTAAATATAAAAGCAATAAAAACTCCTTGTGGGGTTGCTGTGATCTGTCAGGTTGTATAAAAGCCCCCATGGATTCACCAGCAGGATACTAGATACAGAAGTGTTGGCTCTGGATTAAGACAGTGCAAAAAGGTCCATCCCACCCTGTGAACTCAACTACCTCATGAAATGGCATCAATACACTTTGACTCATCTTACAAAACTGTGCTGGGGAGAGCCACGTCCACACGGGCACGCCGCACCGCCCCAGCAATCCTGGGCTGCCCCGGCACAGGCACAGGAGCCCTGCTCTCTTGCCACGTGTTTGGCAGCACCCAGAGGCTCCCACAGCCCACCTGAGACCCCCAGGTTTCAGAGGTGGGGCTGCTTGGGGCCAGCAGGCCTCTCCTGCCCAGGAGCTGCGTGCCTCTGCAGACACGGCGTCACACCTGCACGCCTCGGCCGTGCATCTGGATCACCTGGGCCCGCAGGCTCTGGATCCCACTCAGGATGGTCTTCTGGTGCTCTGCCAGCGTGATGCCCAGGCTCAGGATGTCTCTGCAAAGTGAGCCCCACATCAGCCATGACACACAACCCCAGTGGGGTCTTTCAGACAAAACTCAGCTTGCAGCCACTCCAACAGGACACAACCTTCTCTCCACCTTCTCCCCCTCTTTGCTGATAGGCACGGGTTAACCATCACTGCCACACCCTGCCAACGGTGCAAAGGCAAGAGGAAGCAGGGCACTGCTGACAGGGCAGCCCTGGCCTGGCACTGCCCGGGAGGGGACACCCTCAGCAATAAAAACTGTCAGTGTCCCAAGAAACTTCCGAGCCTCAGCTGCCTGGGTAATTCCCAGCCACCATCTGCATCTGGAGACTTGACAGCTCAACAAGAGACATTGATTTTGAACAGATTACAGCATTAATTATCCACATTGTTGATGTGCATTTCACATCACCGTGACCACTGTGTGCCCCAACACTGACTGCTTCCAGACATGCACAAGTAAGAAATCCCCAACCTTTAGCCCCAGCCAAAGCAGCACTGACACTGACCAGGCATTCTGGGCTAACAGGAGCCTGCAGCAGGTGTGGGACAGCTCTGAGCCCACCACCCTGTGCTGCAGCACAAGAGGTTATCAGTAAATCACATGGATGTGGCTCTGCTCTCTGGCAGGGGCAGGAAACTGCTGTCGCTGCAGCCACGACACAGGGTTACAGCCAGGAGAAGGGGTCACTTACTGGGCTGTCATCCTGGCCACCGACTCCAGGTAGCAGTAGCCTGCAGCAGTGAAGTTGTCCTTGTATCTGCCCATTTCTATAGCTTCCAGCCACTCACCCACGGAGCTGAAGGACGGGAAGGCCGAGAAGGTTCTCTTGGAGAGGGGGATGGACGTGCCATGGGACCTGCCAGCAGAGAGGGTGGTGAAAGGGGAGTGGGGCACAGCAGGGCAGGGGGGGACGGGCAGCTGTGGCAAGAGGGTGGTCACCTGGGGCACGTAGAGCTGGGACACGTGGAGCTGGGGCACTTTGGGGGCTCCAGGCTCTGCACCAACTTGCTCAAGGCATTGTGGATCTGCGAGAACTTGGGCCGCTGGCTGCGGTCCTTCTGCCAGCAGTTGAGCATCAGCTGGTGGAGGGGAGGCTGGCAGTTGGCTGGGGCAGGCAGGCGGAACCCATCCTCCACAGCCTTCATCACCTGCAGGACGAGAGGGGCTGGGGTCAGGTGCTGTGATGAAAACCAGAGGCAAACCCTGGGGCAAACCCCTGGGGCAAACCCCTGGGGCAAACCCCTGGGGCAAGCCTCCCTCCTCACACCGGGCACAGCCACTCCTTCAGCAGCACCGTGCAGCTGCAGGGCACTCACATCCTGGTGGGACATGTCCCAGTAGGGTCTCTCTCCGTAGGACATGACTTCCCACATGACGATCCCGAAGCTCCACACGTCGCTGGCAGGACTGAAGTGGTGGTACTGGACGGCCTCAGGGGCTGACCACAGCACCAGGCTCTTCCCACGCTGCACAGGCAGAAGGGCAGGAATGATTTACTTGTCCAGCAGGATGTGGCCAATGCTGGAATTCCCAGGTAGCCACCCACTGTTCATCGTGCCCTGCGTGGCATCACAGGGTGGGCACCAAACCCATGTGCCATGAGCACATTTAGTGCTAAGAGAAAACTTTTCCCTCATTTGTTTCAAATGTCACATTTAGTACTAAGAGAAAACCTTTTCCTCAATTTGTTTAAAATGTCACATTTAGTACTAAGAGAAAACTTTTTCCTCAATTTGTTTAAAAAGTACAACTGTATGCTACACTGGCGTGCAAGTCCTGAAATATTAATGGGAGAGGAGAATGTCCCCAGGAAGAGCTGATGGCATTTTGTACACTGATATTTGAGGAAAACCACCTCACAGCTGTACAAACACAAGTCCCTCTGCCCTGATCTGTGCAGCGGGGTTGGGCTGGAGCAGGTGTGGTGCTATGCAGGTCCCTGACCAAACACATTGGATTTCTACCTGAGAAAGAAGTCCAAGGTGCAGAGTCCCTGTTCGTACTTGAAGAAGGAAATGGGAACCTAGGAAAAGTGTTGACAACAGAATGCAGCTCACCATGGTGGAGAAGATGGTTTCCATCTTGTCTTCCTGTGGCTGCCTGAACCCTGTGATCTTGCATGCCAGGCTGCTGCTCACCAGGACCTTGTGGGCAGCAAGGCTTTTGTGCACGTAGCCCATCTCTGCCAAGTACGCCATGCCAGAGGCGATGCCCTGCAGCATGCAGACGAGCTGCGTGCCTGTCAGCTGCCCCTCGTGTTTCTGTGAAAGCAGAGGAGGAAAAGCCAAAGGGCAGCCACGGCAACAGGGCCAGGAGAGTCCAAGCTGGGCAGACACCCAGTACTCACTCTGAGGAAGGAGTCCAGCAGGCCGTTCCCCATGTACTCCATCACTATCATCATGGTGCTCCCTGCACAGACAGACAAGCAGCACAGTGTCAGCGCTGCCATCACTCAGACTCTGCAGGGGTTACAAATCCACGTGCCAACCCCTGCACTGCCTGGCTTTTGGGGGAGATAAGGACATTTTGTCAGCCAGGTTATAATGAGCACTAGGGCCAAGGCTTCCCTGCCATTCCCAGCCAGGAACGGATTCCAGTATCAGAAGCTCCTTTCATCTGGACTCTGAAGCACATCACAAAGGACAGCACAGCCCAGTGAAAGCAAAAGCAACCAGCTCAGCCAGAATACTTCCTTTCATAATAAAAAGCCTAGTTAGAATCAGCTCACGTGCTCTGGTTTCTTTGGATTTACACGAATATCCATTTAGCTATCACATCCATAGCCTGGTTCTGCACACACGCTCAAGGGAGAGAGCTGCAGCAGTCAGTCTCATCTGTTTTACTGACAGAATCTCACTTCAATTGACTTTTAGTAAGAGCACACATGCTTGGCTGCTAAGCCAGTCCCACTACCTGCATTTATTAATCTAGCTGCAAGCTTTTTATTAATCAACAGCAGGCAAACCCAGCTGATGCATGTGGGAACAGCTGCTCTCCAGGTAGCCAGCTGCACCTCTAGCACCAGGTTACCTCTCCAATGCAGCAGCTTAAACCCACTCCTGTCACTGTCACATTTTCTGAAAAATCCTCTTTGCCCAGGATTCTTCTCCTGAGAAGCTTAGAAGCCTCAGAGAGAAATTAAAACAATAATTATCTGATTGCTCCTCCTGTGTTTTTGCAGCAGCCATCCCCAGCACGGGAGGGACTGATAACAGAGTGACCACTCCCAGGAGAGACTTTCTGAATTTGTCATCCTTTTCACAGCGGTGAAAGAGTGTTGCCATCCGGTATTGTTAATTTTGTGTGCTGGGGGTGTTTTGCTTGTTAAATAAACAGGTTCTTTCCACTTTTCTCCGAGGAATCCTTCCTGAACCAGAGTGGGGAGGGGCGGTGTGGGTTTGCTTTCTGGGGAGACCCCCTTTGGAGGTTTTCTCCCAAATTTGCCCTAATCCAGGACATATTCTTTAATATAATATAATATCATATCATATGGTAAAATAATAAATTAGCCTTCTAAGAACACAGAGTCGCACTCATCAATTCCTCCTTCGTCCTGCGGACCCAGCAAATACCCATTCCTGCTCAGGAGCCTCCTGGGACCCACGTACCTCTGGTGATGACCCCCTCCAGGCGGATGACGTTGGAGTGGTCAAACTGGCCCATGGTGCAGGCCTGGGCCAGGAAGGAGCGCTGCTGCTTCTCGGAGCAGCCGGCCCGCAGCGTCCGGACGGCCACGGGCAGCTCGCGCTTGCTGGGCAGCTTCAGGCACCCCCGGCACATCTCCCCAAACTCTCCTGCACAGCAGAGAAAGGGGTGAAACTTGCAGTGTGATGTTATGGTTTAACTCAGGACCCCGGGTCCCTCCCCTGAAGTTTCCTGCCCAGGTGTGTCAATCACCTCTCTCACACACCCTGACCCCTGCTGAGTACTGTCTGTCAATCCTGGAGTTCCAGAAGGGCACTGAGTGATTGGCAGATCCAAAGGATGCCCTCCACCCCTGGGGGGCATTGGTCCATCCAGGTGTCCCTTGTCCCCTGACACCTCCTCTCCTGTACCTGGTTGGTGGCTTCCTACCCCGTCCCTGCCCCCTCTCCCCCGGTAGAAGGGCAAGCACACCATGCAGTCAGAGTTCTGTTGGAGCTGTTGCTGGATTCAGAGGCCTGCGGGCCAGAATAAAAGCTCTGGATTAAAACCCTCCATCAGAACCGACTCCTTCCTTCACCAAGGCCTTACAGCTTCTCCAGCACAGGGAAACCTGAGGAGCAGACCCTGCACGGAGGCAGCTCCATCCCGCTGCCACCGGAGCCCCGGCACGCCTGGACTTGTCCCAGCACACCCAGCTGCATCTTCCAGCTAGCCAAAAGTGTCTCTGGGGTGAAACACCACAGCTGCCACTATTTGGTTCAGCAGCAGGGGCCAAGACAAGCCAAGGCAAGCCCTGTCTGCAATACTGGTCATATTCCAATATTAAACAGATCCCTGGCAGGATTGCTGCCACTCACACCAGGCCATCCTGAGCACTGTGCTGGCCCTCAGCCACCTCCAGAGCCTCTCAGTGTTCTCTCCATGCTCTGCTCCAGTGCATATCGTGTTTTAGCCCATGAGAGGAGGAGTAACCCCTGTCACCGAGGTCACACTCCGAGCCTGGCTGGTTCTGCCTCCTGGTCTGCTTCCCACAGAGCTGGACACAGCAGGGCTGTGCAATCCTCAAGGAAGGATTCCTGCAGTCCTCAAGGAAGAACATCCCACTGCACAGCCATGCGCTCCACAACAGGAGCTACGGGATTCCCAACATAAAAAACCAATATTGGCTTCACAGCAAAAAGCGTGTAGCTATGAACAGCTTTATTGATTTGGAAATCAGGTTATTGTTAGGTCAGCAGTGAGACAAACACACTCCCAATTTTCTTAGATTTAAATGTCTTCCTTACTAATTTCTTTCTTGATTTTTCAAACACCAGTTTGCTCATGAAAAGTACATGGGGCTCCTCTGAGCTGCTCCACACTGCAGTTCAGAGGCAACCTCATCCCCTCTTCAGTGTCCTCTCCCCTTCAACACTGTCCTTCAGCTGCAGGCAAAGCCCTCCCTCCTCCCCTCCTCCACCTCTGCTGCTGCTATAGCTGAATTTATCTTTAGGAAAACAAATGACAAAGAATGATCACGTTTCCCACATTCTGGCACACAGTAGCCATTAAGGCTCTAGGGTCCAGTCAGGGGATTTTAATTTGCTTTTAAGTTTTAGGCAGTGAAGTTGATGAAAATCGATAAATCATTAGGTTCACGTATTTATAAATAGTTTTCATGCTGCTGTCAAACTGCCCAGATGCAGATAATTGCTGATGCTTTCTGGTCTGCGTGGCGTTTGCTTGGCTGTGCTCAGTGCCTCAGGAAAACACCAGGAATGTGGAACAAAGCTTCTGGATAAAACCCTCAGCAGCCCCACTCCCATCCTCTGCTGCAGGCAGGTACCCCAGGACTGGAGCAATGTCATGGCTCTGCCATGGCCCAGTGAAAGGGGAGCACACCAGCACAGCCACCACCCCGTGGGACTTGCCTGTCCTGATAATCCTCTCAATTTTGATGCTGGCATTGTCCAGTTCCTTGGCAAAGAGGTGCACGGCCTGCATGGGGTCTTCGCAGGTGCTGGGGTCAATGTATGTCCTCCTGGTTGGTATTTTAACTGCAGGAAAGGCAGAAAGGGCAGGGGAGAGGGGCTCAGCAGCACTTCCACCCACCCATCCTGGGAAACACTATCCCAGCTCATCCATCTCCTGGTCTGTGGGCAGAACCAACGTGCCACCTTTCTATAAGCAAAGCAAAAGATTCAGTTCTAAGGTTTCTAAGATTTTTTTTTAGGATTGAGTGAATCCAACTGCTCTCTCCACTGGGTAAAGGAGAGCAGCCCCTTTGCTCCAGTAAAGCTCCCACCCTCCAAAGCTAACTGAAATGGTCAAGGCAGGCTCTTCTACTTCTGAGGTGCTTTGGGGAACAGAAAAGCATGTGTGCACTCCATGGGCTTGTGCCAGGAATCAAATAAACTCATCAGTCCCGACATCTGAATTCCCTCTGATAACTGCTGTCTGTAAAATTATTGCTGCTCAATAATCCAGAGTAGCCCCAGAAAACAAGGCTGTTTGCTTGTGTTCATGAGAAGCTGACAATAACTTATACACCCCACGGAAGCTGCAGGTATCCCCATTTCCTCTGGCAGGCAGTGACCCTCACGCAGCAAGGACAGACATTGGCACATGGAGCTGTCAAGCCCACGGTCCTCAGAGAGCCTTGCTGTGCTGGCCCCTGCTCTGGGATAACACAGGCTGACAGCACTTCAAGAGTGAGGGCTCAGGGCTGCTTTGGTGGGTTATTAACAATGATAAATACAGGTGTTGTGATGTCATGGCTTGCCTCAGTTACCCCGGTCCTTCCCCAGGTGTGTCAATCACCTCTCCTTTCTCCCACCCTGACTCCTGCTGGGCACTGTCTATCAACCCAGGAATTCCAGGGGGCCGCCGAGTGATTGGGCAGATTCAAAAGATGCTCTCCATCCCTGGGGGCCATTGGTGTCCTTTTTGCCCCTGAGATCTCCTGCCCTGTACCTGGCTGGTGGTCCTTAGATTCCTCCCCTTCCCCGAGTAAAAGGCAAGGAGACCACGCAGTCAGGAGTTCTGTTGGAGCTGTTGCTGGATTCAGGGGCCATGCGGCCCAGAATAAAAACTCTGGATTAAAACCCTCCATCAGAACCGACTCCTTCCTTCACCATGGCCTTACAGCTTCTCCAGCACAGGGAGGCCTGAGGAGTGACCCTCTAAAAGAGAAGCTCCAGCCCACCAGCATCGGAGCTCGGGCGTGCCTGGGCTTGCCTCAGGGTGCCCAGCTGCGACCCACAGCTAGCCAGGGTGTCTCTGGGTGCAAACACCACAGTTGCCACTATTTGTTTCAGCAGCAGAGCCAGATAAGCCAAGGCACGTTCCGTTCAGCAATATTGGTATATTCCAATACACAGGGATCCCCACAGTCACACCGGCCGTGACAGCCAGGCGCCACTTACAGTGGAAGTACAGCTCCTCGTCCCCATCCTGGCTGGCTTTGCTGTACCCACACTGCCTGCAAAGAGAATGAAGATGCACACCAGCAGCTGGGCAGTAGCTCCTTACCCCAGGTGAAACCCCCCTGGAGCACGCCTGGCCCTGCTCACCTCCTCCAGACCATCACACCGACCACCAGGGACAGCAGCACTGTCAGCCCCACGATGGCCACCACGGCGATGATGAGGACGGGGTTCTGCTCACTGGAGGCCACTGTCACTGCAGGAGGGAAGCAGAGCCACTCATCAACGTGCTCTGGGGCAGGTTTGAGGAGAGGAGCTGCCCTGGTCACTGCTCCCATGGCCAGCCTGTGTCCTCCAGAAGAGCTGTGGGAGTTTGGCTGCTTTTCACCATCCTCACAAGAATTCCAGGTTCTGGCTCAGCTTTAAGAGGCCAGGCTGGTGGGATCAGTCCAACATGCTGGGCAGTGCTGCAGGCAGCACAGACTGAGCAGCCCAGCACTGCTGCACCAGCTCCTGGTGCTGGTAATCAGAGCTGAGGAAGAATCCTGTTTATCAGAGGAACATATCAAAATTTATGGCCTTACAAATAGTTTTCTTTCATCACATTAATCCCTTTTCCTCCTGCTTTTGCAAACAGGGGTATTAGATAGCTACATTCTCTATAAAATTTTTATTGGCTTCAATTAATTCTGAAATGTCTTCTGTATGGCAAATGAAGGCAATTTAAAGCCCTGTTAAACACAATCTGTGGGAGCTGTTCTGAGCCAGCCAGCTCAGCCTTGCTCTTCCAGCCAGCATGGGGGATTGTGCCGAAGCCCAACATCCCTCCAGCCTTCTCTTAGTGAAATAAGATGCTTTTGGACCACAGTTATGAATGGGAATTTAAAAGGAGAAGTCTCAGCAGATAACACTGATGCTGGCTGCCCTGAGCCAGCCAAGGAGTAGGCAAGCCAAGTGTCCCCTGAGCCAGGACAGCAGCGGGAGGCAGGCAGCAGTCATGAGCTAAGCCTGGTTTTGGGCAATCTCAGCCAAAGAGCAGAGCCTGTCCCAGCCTCCTCGTGAGAAAGGAGCCAGAGAGCAACTGCCCTCATTGACTCTTCACTGAGAAGAGACAGGACAGGCTCCCCCAGGACAGGCAGGGCAGCAGGACCAACCTCATCAAAATCTAATGGGAAAATGCAAGCACAGGCAAATTCCTGGATGGCAGTGGCCCTTAGACCTGGAGGAGCAGAACCAGAACAAGTGCTGCTCCATGAAACCAGGAGCAGCTGGGGCATGAGCTGCAAGCACAGCCTCCCCAGAGCTCAGCTCAGAGCCCTGGCAGGGACACGAGCCCTGCTGCACTTACACTCTGCCAATGTCTCCACTTCAATGCCAGGGTTGAAGTTCCCATAGTCTGGAGAGGAAGATGTTCGGATTTGGAAAATGTAGAGGGTTCCAGGCTTCAGGTTATTGACTGTCACGGCTGTTGATGTGGTTTTCACAGTTGAGTAACTTTGATCTCTCTGATCCTGCGAAATAATGAGATACCTGAGATGGAGCTGGAGTGACAGCTGTGCCACAGAGCCAGCATGGCACAGTCGTGTCCTCAGCTCTGGGTCCCATGAGGACAGAGAGCCAAAGAGCCAGCCTCCAAAAGAAACAATACATTCACTGGATGTCTGATCAACAGAAATTACATGGGAAGGTCACAGGAAATGGCAGATGGAGGTGGATGGTGCTATGAAGACATGAAGGCAGAAGATGTGGTGGTGGGGAGCAGCTGTGCCACCCCTCACGGCAACTTCCCCCTGTGCCAGGCTGAGCTGTGGCACCAGCCAGCCCTTCCCTGCTCCACTGCTGCATTTTTCTGTGGCTTGAGATATAGAACAGAACAGCAGTATTGGAGCAAATCTGTGTGGATTGGAAAATAGCAGGTGGAGCCCCAAGAGGCATCCCAGCCCCACAGTGTGGCACAGGCAGTGTCCCAGCCCCACAATCCAGCACAAGCAGTGTCCCAGCCCCACAGTCCATCACAGGCAGTGTCCCCCAGCCCCACAATCCAGCACAGGCAGTGTCCCAGCCCCACAGTCCAGCACAGGCAGTGTCCCACAGCCCCACAATCCAGCACAGGCAGTGTCCCAGCCCCACAGTCCAGCACAGGCAGTGTCCCACAGCCCCACAATCCAGCACAGGCAGTGTCCCAGCCCCACAGTCCAGCACAGGCAGTGTCCCATGTGTCTACTGCTTAGCTCTAATCACAGTTCTGCTGTCTCTGAGGCCTGCCTTTTGCAGCTTTCCCAAAACCCTCTGGTTTTAAGGATTCCCACACCCAGAGCCTACCTTCTCAAAGTACTTGATCTCGTACTCAGTGCCATTGGCAGTCAGGAAGCCTGGCTCCTGCCAGGACAGGGAGACACTCTTCTGCTCCACTTTGTCTGTGCGGATGTCAGTGACAGGAGTTGGCACTGAAAATGCAGAGAGGAAAAGGGCAGTGACTGAGGGGCTGCTCCAGTAAAACCTTTCACTCCAACAGCTGCAGCGTGTGTGGCTTCTGCAGACACCAGTTCCCTCTCTCTGAATCAGGACTGGAATAGCTCTGAGCTGGTGGCCATCCCGTGGGAGAAGAGAGTGGTAAAACACAACAGTTTTGTAATCCTGCAACACTGCAATGGAAAACTGGCAAAAATCCTGACAGCACCCTCCACCCCTAGTGCTGCTGAGGGGGCTGAGGATGGGCTGGTGTCCTGGGCTCTGAACCCCTGCTGAGGATGTCTGGGAAAGGCAAAACACAATCTTTGATCAGGAGGGCTGGTGGGACACACCAAGGCCTCCTGAAGCACCTCACACCAGATCCACCCCATGCAGCTGGACTGCTGAGGGTATGACCCCTGCTCTGAGAGCAGCCTGTGCCTCAGGAGCTGCCTGTGTATTTCTGGTCAGCACAAACTCCCTCCCCGACATGCTTGCATCCATTTAGTTCACCCACTGCAAGACGCACTTGCCAATATTCCCATTTTAACCAGATTTGGCTCCAAACAAATCTCCAGACTATGCAGGCAGCAGCTCACAGCCTCAGGCACGGCAAAAGCTGCACAGGGATATTGACTGTTCCCAGCTTGTCCTACTTCCCATCAAATCAGGACATTCTCTGGACCCGTCTCTGTCCCACCTCCCCTCCCATGGAGAGGAACAAGTCCTTAGAAAGTAAACTTAAGTACCTGTGAAATTTTGTATTTATTACTTAGCTCATTAATCTTTGCTGAAATAAAAAGCCCTCATGATGTTTTATTCATGGTAATTTGCTCCTTGATTCCAAATCATTTTGGCTTCCTGTGAGAGGGGTCAAAGGGGCTCCTGTGCAGCTGCCATGGCCCACACATGGCTCCCTCTGCTGTGACCCACCCCAGGGTGTGGGACAGAGCCCAACATTGTCCCCCAGCTCTTGCCTTGGGTCCTGTAAGATAAGCTAAGTGTTCCTTACTGTGTTGTATGATCCCCATCAATAAAATATCACACAGCTGCCCTCCTGTGTCTCTGAACCCTGGAAATGGACTGGAGAGACCTGACTGCATGGTCCTGACTGTTAACAAAGTCAGCAGGAAAAATCCTACTCACTCACAGATGTGCTTTAGAGCAGAGCCCATAGTACATGACAGAAAAGTAGGTGCCAGCCTCAAACATGTTTAAAAAACATTAAAGAAAATCACACAGACTATAAAGCATTTCACACTGTGAAAAAAATGTGTTTCCCATCAATATTTTAAGCTCTTCTATCATTGCCTCTATTCAAAAAAGCAAACATTAAATTATTCACCACTCTGCCTGATTTTATAAACTCCATTCCCCTCTACGTGGGTTTTCTCCTGTTGATTAACCAGCATAGCAGCAGAACAGCATAAAACTACATGTGGCAGCGTGTCCTTCCCCAGAACAACTCACTGCATCCAGCAGCTGCACTTGGGCACCTGCTTGTGCCAGAGAGAGCCACCTCTCCCCTCCTTCACCAGTCACTAACATCCCAACCCAGAACACGCCTCAGAGATCTCCATTCCAAAGCAGAGAAGCTGCCTCACCAGTCAGCAGGCAGCCCTTTCAGGGCAAAGACCCCAGGAGCTCAGCCCCAGAGCTGGCTCATCCTGCAGCCCCACTGCCCCAGGGTGACTGAATCAGCCCTGGGCATACACAGGCAAATCTACTTTGGAGCACCAAATTCAGCTCAACCCCCTTCTCCAGCCTCAGGAAGGAGGATGCATTCTGGTACTGGTTGCATTATTAATCAGCAGCAGATTTAAAAGCTCTTTAAGGCAGGAGCCTTGTATTCCTGCCGGGAATACAAATGACAGTGGCCTGGAGTGCACATTTACATGGCTAATGCAGCTCCACTCCTGCAGGCAAACAGTTCCCCTCACTCCTCAAACACTTTTATTTAGTCCCATGCTGGGGACAGATTAGAAAAAACACAGTATTAATTTTGCCACCTGCAGACTAAATTGCATCTCCTCTTTTCGCTGCAATTACAAGGAACGATGGACAATTCCCTCTGGTGACTGCTGGAGGGGAAGGACAGCACGGAGCTGCACTCGGAGCTGGATTAGAGGAGCAGGATCTGACAGCTAAATAAGGTGTTGTTTCTTGTTTAATTTTTCCTCTGAACCTGCTTATCAGCAGACAGGGCTCCCCTGCGACTTCCGAGACCACAGCACGACAGCCACCGTGGAAGGCAGCACTGCCCAGGCATCCCTGGAGTCTCCCTCCTCCTGACCTCTGGCCCCATCCAGCACTTCTGTGGTGGGCTCTAGTGACAAGGAGCTGCAGAGTCAGGACTCCAAGAAGCCTGTGGAGCAGCTCCCCAGGCTGTCCCTGCCAGCTGTGGCTCCGTGTCCTGCCCATGCAGGGTCCCCTCCTCACATTGAGTTCTTTCAGACAAACTCAGCTTGCAGCCACTCCCCCAGGACACAACCTTCTCTCCACCTTCTGCCCCTCTTTGCTGATAGGCACGGGTTAACCATCACTGCCACACCCTGCCAACGGTGCAAAGGCAAGAGGAAGCAGGGCACTGCTGACAGGGCAGCCCTGGCCTGGCACTGCCCGGGAGGGGACACCCTCAGCAATAAAAACTGTCAGTGTCCCAAGAAACTTCCGAGCCTCAGCTGCCTGGGTAATTCCCAGCCACCATTGCATCTGGAGACTTGACAGCTCAACAAGAGACATTGATTTTGAACAGATTACAGCATTAATTATCCACATTGTCGACATGGATTTCAGTTCCCTCAGGAGTACACGGTATCGAGCAAGGGGCTGAGATTTCCCCCTGCCCCAGGGGAAAAGCTGTTCTTAGCAGCCAAGGCATGGGCTGGCATCACTGACTTGCTGCTTTGCTCCCTAAGAGAACGGGGCACTCACTGCCCACAGCTGAGCTTGTGCCCAGCTCAGACCTGGGGGCTCAGGCAAGGTGGGAGCTCCATGGCACCGGCCCCTCTGCCTGCACCAGGCTGGAGGAATGGCTTTTTATCAGACTTCTCTAAGCTCACCACACCCCAGCCTGTTCTCTGTCCCCCTGGCCTGAGCTCAGGAGGCAGAAGACCTTCCCAGAGCTAAATCCATCCTTGAACAGCAAAGATCCTAATGAGGAATGACACCTCTGCTGAGGAGCAGTCTGCAGCCCAGCATCCCCCAGTGGAGCCACAGGGATTATGGTATGAGGGGAGAGAAAGCAACAACGTGCACAAAAACCATTTGATCAAGTGGTAAGAAAATTATTTGTAACAAGATCAAAGTTTAATCTCTTCAGATGAAATTGTTGGCCGCTTCCTGCCAAGAGGTACCTGAGGATCATCTGTCTCCATTAACTGTGGCTTGGGAAAGGGTTTTCATGCAAATTAATAATGTAACTGCAGAGGAATGGACAAGGACACGACAAGCCAGAGCCGACTGTCCTTCAGCAGAGCCAACAGCACAGGAGGGACCCGACGGTCCTTTGGCACAGACAACAGCTGAGGAGGGACTCCTCAGCCAACCCCTCTGGTCAGAGACCTGCCCACAGGCATGGGCACTCACTCCCCTTTACCTGAGGGAAATGCCAAACTGGACATGGAAGGGGACAATTACAGTAAGAACTGTGTCACAGACCAGCGCAGGATAGAGAGTGCAAATCAATTTTTTTGTTTCTGAAGGATAGCCAACATTTGAATTATCTGTTTTAAGGAGGGTTTTCTGATGAATGGGCTGGAAGTGCTGCTTCATCAAAGGGGGTTTTATAAATTCAAACTGCAGCCAGATCACAGAGCAGACTTGTCCCTTCACAGCCCAGGCTGTCACCACTCCTTGCATCCCAGAGGCATCAAATGGAACCCTCTGAGAGTGCCATGGGCCAGCCTTCATCTGCCCCTCTGCCCAGCAAAGCACCCAGGATAAATATGCCTGTGCCCCCAGGACAAACCAAGCAGGAATGGGGTGATAGTAAAAGATTTTAAAATCACAGAAAATTCGGGGAGTTAGAAAGAAAGTTAGGCTTAGTAGGCCCTGGGAAAACGTTAAAGGTAGGCCCTGGGAAATGTTAGACCTTGTGTTTGCTAGATTATGTGAAACTGCACCTGTGTAACCAGTGTATGATAAATGATATGATTGTTAGATGTGATGGTTACTTAATAATTAGATGTAATTATTGTTTAATCATAAGAAGAATCATGAGAAACTATGTTCAAAGGTTTGAGGGGGATCACGAGAAACCCGTGCTTGGACGAAATCAATGTATACAACAGAACAATGTAAGTTTAATAATTAATATGTAAGTTATAGAATGATAGAACATAAAACATGTTCAGCCCGAACCCATGTCAGAGTCAGATTTGGGTCTGTGTACCCCTGACACCCAGAGCTCTTTAATAAAAGCACCTGCATATAATCATTCTGTGATTGTGTGTCTGAACTCCGACGGGGCACTGCCACAGCACAGGCCTGAGGATGGTGACCACAGCACCCACAGGCTCTGTGTCCTCCCAGCAGCAAAGCCACCAAAACCCTGCCTGCAGAGCAGACCCCTGTAAGAGAAAGTCTGGAGTTTCCCTCATTTGCCTCATGATTGTCACAAGGGCCCTGATGACCCCGGACAGGAACTCTGGCCTGGCTGAGGCGGATGTTTTCTGGATGTCATGCCAAGTGATTGTTTGCAATCACCAACGAGCACAGGATCACTGGTGATTGCACTGGTGATTGCTCACTGGTGCCTTCACAGCACACTGCTTTGAACAGGTTCTGAGAAACGGTGGCTTGTCCTTGCACACCTTCACCTGCCTCACAGGTTCTGACAAGCGGTGGCTTGTCCTTGCACGCTCGCTCCTGCCTCACAGACCGAGGGGTCTCAACACAACGGCCCATGAATCTTCCCCACCTTTTGGCTGATGCCACTCACTTTGGATTGAGACTATATAAACTGCAGCTTTGGACACGACTTTGGTGAGCCCCCACGGACGATGGTGAATCTGTGTGGCTGCACCATGACGATTCCGTCTCATTGGTAGCTACATTCCCCTTCCCCCCTTTTTCTTTCTGTCCTTTATTTCCTTTTCAATTTCCTCTCGATTTCCTTGTAGATCCCTCTATCACATTTGCTGCTGGCCCTCAATAAAGGCGCATTTGCTGCGATTAAATGACAGTCCCCTGCCATTTGTCTTTTGCACTCTCGGGATCAGCAAACGAACCATCACAACCCCGCTTGCCCTAGCGGATTGTGACACCCCCACACCCCAAAACTGACCCACCAGAGCAAAGCACCCCAGGGAGGGAAAACAGCACGCTGTCCCCGCGTGTGCCACGTACCTGCAGGGCCCGTGGACACGTTGACCTCGGCGTACTGCTGGCCGGCCAGCGGGCTGACGGCCGAGACGCCGTTGAGGGCCAGCACGCGGATGGTGTAGTTGGCGTGAGGCAGCAGGTTCACCAGGGTGACCGTGCGCCCCACCAGCCCCGTCTGCTGCGGCACGAAGCCCACGCTGCTGCCACACTGCTGGCAGCGCCCCGCTGGCACCGCGGGGCACCGGCCACACCACAGGCTGTAGGTGAGGTCGCTGCGGCCGCCCGCGTCGGCCGGGGCGCTCCACTGCAGCACCAGGGAGGACTGGCGCAGGCTGTACACCAGGTTCCTCGGGGCAGAGGGTGGGCCTGCAAGGAAAAGAGTGTCAGTGTATAGGTGTAGGGATGTGCTTCCTGTTGGCGGAGTGACTAAATTATTCTTTGTTTAAAAAGGGGAAAAGCACACAAGTTTCTCTCTCAGTTTCTCTCCCTACACCTCGTAGGACCTTTGGGATTTCACCTCAGACCTGTGGCTGTCTGACCAAGAGGTCCCACCTAGGTAATTCACTAAAAAAGGAAAAGAGCAAAGGAAATAATCACTTTTGTGGGGTGTTCTAGCAGGAGCAAGAACCTCTTGCCTCTGCAAAACCTGGCTCGGTTTTTCTCTGTAAGAGCTTTGTAATCTTGCCTTTTATTAAACCTTTCTATGTTTCCAACACTACCTCAGAAGCCATCCTGCTAATTTTATGTCGTTTGGGGTTGCTGAGCTATCTCAGGTGTGATGGGTTTCTCTGGGAGCTCATAAGACCTGGCTCAAAGAGTAACACATCACAAACCTCAAGATCCTCTCTGGGAGCAGCACAGCAGGCACTGGAGGTAGAGCACAAGGGCACAGTCCTGGACAGCCACAGCCAGGGGTGGCACAAGGGGACATGTGGACAGCAACAGCCAGGGGTGGCATGAGGGGACACAGAGGTCCTGGACAGCCACAGCCAGGGGTGGCACGAGGGGACACGGAGGCACTGGTGTGTGCAACACAGTGGGACAGAGGATCCCAGCTGCAGGGACGTGTGTGCACCACAAGCCACAGCTCACAGTGTGCATGGGGAGCCCCTGGCTGGAGCCCTGAGCAGCACTGGCCCCAGGAGCCCACTCCTGGTCAGACACTGCCTGGCCATGCTCTGCAGAGACAGAGGGTTCCTCATCCCTGTGCTGGCAGCTGGACAGCATCCATCACCAGAGCAGCTGGAGTCCAGTCCGATTAACTAGAGGCCATTTAATTAAAACCTGTGAATTATAGTCACTAAATGACTGTGCCCCAGTTTATCAGGGAGTCTGCGAGCCTGACTGCACATCTGCCTGATGTGTCTGATCAGTCTGGGTTGTAGGGACAGCCCCTCCATCCCCTCCCCAGTGCACAGACCCCGAGGTGAGCACACAGAGCAGGCAGGCACAGCCCTGGGCACTGCAGGACAGACAGAGTGCTGGACAGACAGAGACCTACGTGTGCAGGAGGCAGATGGTGGGTCTGAAGGAGACCTGGAGTAATTTGTCTGGCACAAACAGAACGTGGAGGCTTCCTCAGGTGTGAAGCTGTGCTCAGGGCATGGAGAACAGAGAGGGAGACGGAGGGAGAGCTTGTAAAACCCTGGAAGGCAAGCTGAAAGAGAGAGAGGCTGTTAAGGGGAGAGCAGCACAGGATAAATTGGGACATGTCTGGTGACTGCATTTCCCTGGAGCCTCCTGTGCTGCCCCTGGCCAGCAGACACCACCCTCTAAGCTGCTTTCCCTGAGCACCTGCATGATCCTGGCACCAAGAAAGATGTCCCTTGGTTTTACCCATTTGGGTTCTGTAGCTCTGCACTGACTTTCATAGTAAATGTCATTCCCTATCTAGGGTGCTAGATAAACTAGGAAAAAATAGCAAATGTTAAAATTACTCCTGAAACTTCCAGTTCCCTCTTTAGAATTGAGAAACCAAATCAGAACTGGTAGTGTATTCATAGAATGGAGACAGATTGTGCTTTTTTCCTTTAGTTAGGCAGCACTGACCACCACACAGGGCAGAAACATCACTGCATCAGACACGACAGGAAAATCAATCCTGTTTACAAACATGATGGGATCCAAGCATTAAACCCAGACCCCATCCCTCAGATGTGCCTGTCACACAAACCTGACACCTCATCGCAGGAAACTGAACATTTCCAATTAGAAGTGTCTTTCAGAATAGTCCACCCTGTTTTCTAACAGTCAGAAGTAAGTTTACAGAAGTGTCTGTCATTAATAATGGCACAAAATGCCCCAATTTGCATGTCCCAGGAGCAGGCACCACAACCCCATGTGAGTGTGTCCCACGAGGAGCCACGGGCTTTACTTCCTAATTTTTTTTTTAACTTGGCTGTCCAAAACTTGCCCTTGAGAAGAACAAAAGTGCCCAGCACACGTGATGCATCATATGTGTGTCTCTGTTTCTTTTTTCAGACAAACTCCCACCCTCTTCCACCTCATCCTACGAGTGTTTTTCTTGGTCTCCAGCTGGTTTAGGTGTCCCTGTCATTTCACAGTGCTTATTTCTGCAGTGGGTATGTGACAGCTCTCGGGGGATCAGGTCATCAATTTATAGAATGAAATTCTCTTTTTTTGTACACTGCTTTCTATCCTGTTCCTGGTCCTCTGGTGCTACCACACGTAAATTATTAAACAATAAAATTCAATAATTCATTGTCCCAGAGCCAAAGAGAAGCAGTCAGATGGGTCAGATGGATCAAGTGCCTCTCTCCAGCTCCACACTGCTGACCACAGAAGCTCCTCAAGCGGGCCTGGTCCCTGTCACTGGCAGAGGGAGCACATTCCCCCCTCTGTGTAACACTGTCTGCACCCTGCCAAACCAGCAGCACAGCGAGCTGCACTCGTCTGGGAGGCAGCTTGGCTGATAACCCAGCATGAAGTAACCTTGGGAAAGGCTTCTCTCTGCACCTCACCTGACACAGCTCCTCAGGCAGGAGCGGGTGTTTTCGGAGAGAGCAACGTCCTCTCTCATTCCCAGCCTGTGCCACAGGGAAAGCAGGGGTGACTGAGGAAGCAGACCTGGAAAATGCATGGTTTCCTACTCCAGTGGCACAGGACAGCTTTCCATTTCCCTTCCCAGTGAAGTCCTACCAGCAGCAGCACTGAGTGTGCCAGCATGAATTAATAACAGCTGCAGCCTCACTCAAAATGCCTATACAGGCATTTATAATTAACACTACAACTCGGTTGTCTTCCAAAATCAATTCCTTTCCAGTTTTGGTCATGGAATTGTATCTGACAAAGTTCATCTGCTTTAATGTGTGTTAATTTTCTCTGCTGAAGCAGACATTCATAAAAATGCTCTTTAGGAAAGCCACAGCTGGGGAGACAGGCAGCCAGCACTGGGGGTGCCACAGCAAGAACCAGGACAGCAGCACAGGCTGAGGCACCCCAGCAGCCTGACAATGCCAGTCCCTCCCAGCAAAGGGCAGACTGGGAGCACTGGGCCCCTCCAGCTCTCAGACTTGCATCCAGCCCTTTGAGCAGCACTCAACCCTGCAATCTCACCACTGTCACCCAAGGTGTTCACAATGCATCTCTCACAGGAGCTCTTGCTCCTGCTGACCCCTCCCTGGACCAGGCTGGCACAGCCCTACTCCATCCATCTAAATCCCATTATCAAGTCACTGTTTATTATGTTCCAAACATTTCATCAGTGCTTCAGAGGCGAAGTGCCTCAGGCCAGCACAATGGGAAGGAGGGAGCAGCAGTCCCAAGGAGGGACAGACACTGCCAGCCAGTGCCCATGGATGAGGACAGGCTGCCCAAACCAGACAGGGCACCCTGTGTAAATCACTGACAGGACAGAGCTTCAGTGGTGCACTGAGGTGGACAAAGAGCCTTGCTGAAAAACATCCTCGGGTAGCAGAGAGGCTGCTGCCCTCTCCACGCTGAGTTTGAGATCTCACCTTGCCTTACTGCACCAGCTGTGATCAATACTGCAGGCAGAGAGAAGGGACAGCAGTCGTGTCCAATCTGTGAGCCAGCGTGAGAGGGACAAAGTCAGCATGAAGAGCAATCAATGCAAGCACTGAGTCAGGCTCTTCTCACCTCATGTCTGCCAGGATGGGAGCTTCAGGCTGTACCACCCCAGAGAATCCAAAAGCACCTTGCCTTCCACACAGTTTGGAGGTTTTTAACAACTGGTTTTCAACAAGCAGCCTATGGTCCAACACATTGCCAGCAATTCTGACACCTCTAGACAATGCTACTCTGTAATTTTTGTCCTTGTTAAATAATTTGTGGAGTACTAAAATGAAAACCTGTGTCCAAGGGCAAGATCCTTGTGCATCCCCAACAACAAACTCTTAACAGCCAAAATTAAATTTAGTGATTTAGTCCAGAACAAAGACAGTCTTGAAATATCTAACAGAGTGCATTTGATGAATCCAGCCAGGACTGACAGAACCTCCTTGCTATTTATGCCAGAATGTTCCTCAAGGACACACTGAAGCAGGCACATCTGCTGAGCCAAGTGCAATTCACTGCTGTCTCTCAGCTCCCTAATGCACCCACCCAACAGTCCCTGGTGAAGGACTGGCTGACCAGCCTCTCCAGGGCCCTCTGAGCACTTCAGCTCACATAAACCCCCTCAGCTGTGGGCAAGACACGTCCCCTCTGGATTTCAACAGCCCATCCAGCCCATTCACCCAGCAGCCAGATATCCATGACCTTAACCTCACAGGAATTCTGCAAACAACTTGTGATGCTTGTAATTGTCAGAGTAGCTTGCTCTGAAATGAAATGTCACGGAGCGATTTGTGTCTGGATCTGTCACCACTTCCAAAGCCATAATTATTTCAGACACACTGTGAGCAGCAATGGAACAATGTGCAGTCCCAAATGATGAATACCTCCAAGCCTGGCCATTACTGCAGAGAGATTTTACATGGCTGCTCCATGTGTGTGAGCAACCAACACCCAGCTGATCCCACCTCACAACCCCCCTCAATGTGCCCAGCTCCAGAATTCCTCTGGAATTTCCTCCAGTTCCACACAGCTGCAAGCACAGGGTCTGACTGTAGGATGCCTGTGGCTGCATCCGTGATGAAAGTAAAACCTGGTGCTTTGTGCAACTTGCAGAGCCCCAGGAGGGAAAATAAACGTATGCATAATCCTCCAGCATCAGTCAGCAGATAAAGTACACTCCAGGAGCACTTACAGGTTTGTAAGTTAATGTATAAAAGATGAAACAAATCAAAAGCTCCAAGTGCTGTACATTTGGATCTATCTTTTTTCTATTTAAACAGAAAAGCAGACCTCAGGCTTCAGGAGGTAGCTTTGCAGTAAATGACAAAATATTGTCATTTATTATTTTAGATTTCTCTAACTTTCAATTGAACTATTTCTTTTCCACCTAAGGACACTGCAGTGACACAGTGGTGTGGTGGGACATATCCAATGGACAGAAGAGCATCTGGCTCACCCCACATCCCACTCCCACCCTAAACCTCTGCTTTCTCCCTAAGAGAGATACAAATAAATCTTCCTTGTGTCTTGTCCACAGCAGGTTGAATTCAACATGATGCCCAAAAATCCACCCAGTGATGCAGACAAGGAGGGGGAATTTCTGTTATTCCCCATTTCAAACAGCACCTGTGGACAAGACTGTCACTGAAGCCACCTCCTGTGCAAGGTTTTAAAGAGATGAGCAACACTCATCTCTTTAAAAGGCCATTTAAAAATCCTGACAAAGCACTAGAAACAATTTCAACTCTAAAACTGTTCCAGTGACGTCATTTCCATGTAGACAAGGGACAGGGACACTAATTAGCCCATCATTGGCCAGACCAAGCAGGGCTCCAGGTGCTGGTGAGGGGCAGCAGAGCATGGGACACAGCAGCAGGCAGAGCTGGCTCCTGCCAGTGCTGTCAGAAGTGGAGAAAAATGAATTGAGGAGGAAACTTTGCCAGAGCACAAATTTACGTTTCTGTCAAAGAAGAGTGGCTGGCAGCTATTTTTGGTAACTGGCCTCCATCATATTAATGCAATGTCTGGTTTAAGTTGTCTTATTTGCAGCAAATCTGGCTGGTAAATATTAACCTTGAGCTTTGTTGAAATTCTCCTTGCAGATATTACTAGGGATTGGATAGAAGAGAGGAAGCAGAAGGAGACAACTTTGAATGAAAATGTTAGGCAGATCTCCCACATCACGGCTTCATTTACACAAAAACTATTGCTACACATCAAAAACAACCAGAATAAAGGGGCTACAGCTCACACCTGACAAAATTAATGGCAAAAAGATATCAAAGCTGGGAAGGCAAGTGAAAACAAAACAGGGATGGGCAAGGGATCATCCACAGAGCACAGGACTGCCCAATTGCCTGCCATGCATCTTCTGGGAACAGGTTTTATGGTCAGAGTAAGCACAGAGCAGCAGCTGGCTACAGAGATACATCAGACAAGACAAGTCTGAGTGTATTTTCAGTGACAAATTCTCCTCTTCTTTGTGAGTGGGTGTTAAACAGACACTAAAGTTGTGCAGTCCCACCCCAGAGGTGGCTGTACGCCAACAAACACCAAAACAATTCATCAGAAACATGCAGACTTGTCAGGAGTGCTGGAGCAGTGGTGCAGGACAGGAGGATGGACATGGAAAGACCCAGCTTTCCTGCAGCCAGAATTAGCAGAGTCAGAAGTCCTATTGGCCTTTTAGTCATCTCTCCTAATTTCAGAGTGAGGACACAAACCTTCTCTTGGTACAGGACGCTTTCAGTAATTAAATCAGGGTTAGAGGGACACCAGCTCTGCCACCAAGGTTAAACACCTTCACCAGCTCATCTCCTGCTTCCTCCACTGCTGCCACCACCACAGTCCTGCTGCCAGCACCACCCTCAAGCACCACCCTGGCCCCCATGCCACCCCACAGGCACCAGCAAAGCCCCCACCACCCCCAGTCCACCACCCAGACCTCTCAGGCCCACAAGAGCTGCAACAGAGACTCTGGCCAAGAAGTTTTGTGGGCCAGCAGGATCCACACCCTCTGAGCCCTCCAAAGCCATTCCACAGGGTCACGGTGGTGGAGCCAGGTGTGTTGTGCCACCAAACTGCCAAAGCATCCACCTGCCTCCAGCCCAAGGGCTTTTGTCCTCACTGAAGCTTTCATCAGAAATCTTTTAAAGCTATTCACTTAGCACTATGCTAATGCAGGGCTGCAAACAAACCCAAAACTTTCAACCCTTAAAAACTATTTTCTGATATTTGACCCGACATCAGACGCTGCTCTACAGAGAATGACTAATGACCTGCTTTCTGTGAGAGGGGAGAGAAACTTAATTATGTCCATTAAATTACTTCAAATATTTTTCCTCAGAGAATATGAATTATTTAAACTCAACACAGAGAAACCTGAAACATTAGCAAAAGCCTTCTGGGACTCACTATGTAAATCCCCACTCCAAACAGATGTGGAAAGCATGGCAAGCTGCCATGCAGCCACTGAAGCAATCAACAGCACTGAGATTTCAATTTGATAGCTTTAATAAGGTCTTCTTAAGGAGAAGCCACTGCCCAGAGCACTGGGAAGGGCATCCCACCACCTGGAGGAAGGCAGCACCACCAGCACAGTGAAAAGCCTGGAGGTGCTGCTGAAGGGCAGAAAGCTCACTCTCCTACTGCACCACCTGCCTCCAGTGCAGGGCAACTCCACCTGCCTGGGACTTACTTAGCTGTTTTCCTCTCAATCTGTTGTTGAGGTGAAAAGGGAGACATCCAAGGTATCACCTGGACACCGGGCATGGGTAGCAAAGGGTCTTTTCAGATGTATTTTACTGAAGAATTCACCTCCTTTCCCAGGTCCCAGCTGGCAAGAAGGTGCCATGGGGTGGCATTAGCCCAGCAACTCACTCCATTCAGAGGCTCCACACTCTGAGGAAGAGCACGACACCCAGCATCCCACACCTGGCTCTCACCTGCCTTTGAAAGAAAGGTCACAGCCTCAGGTTCATTAGTGGGATGCCTTGTTAAGGCAGAGGGTACATCCATGATGTAACATAACCTTAAACATAACCTTGTGAGCCGTAAAATCACCAAATTATTAAACCGTGTCCAAAGCGTATCAATAGGGATATTAATGTTCTAGAGTAATTTTAACATTACAGATAAAGCTGTGGGAAATTCCTGACAGCACCCAGAGCTCTGACACATCTGCCCAACCAGCACCAGGCTGCAGAGCAGCCCCATGCCCTCCAGCTGCCACCCTCCAAACAAACCTCTGGTGCTTCACTGGGGAGCTGCCATCACCCAAACCAACATACTGCTGCAAAAGACAATGCCACCTGTCCAAACTGTGCTCAGGCACCAGAGAGGTCCGGCAGCAGCATGGACTGACAGACAAAACCTGCCAGGAGACCAATGGCCACGTTTACCTCTGCATGCCCCGTCCTTCTCCTCAAAGCCAGGGCTGCACATGCATTTCCCTACGGGCACCAGCCACTCGCCCTCTGCGCTGCAGTGCATCCGAGGGGGGTTATCCACGTCCACCTCAGCATGGGCAACACAAGTGCCCTTAACCTCCACCAGCGTCACAAAGGCCGTCTCTGCCACCGTGTCTGGGAACGTGGCCAAGTTCTGCACGGTGCTCAGACACTTCTTGTAATAAACCCGCACGGAGACCAGCGCCACGCAGGCGCCCACGTCCTGGAAGCCCAGGTGGAAGCCTCTCTTGCTCAGGTGCCCAATCTCCCTGAGCTCAGTGTTCAGCTTCATCTTGCGCTCGCCCAGGTCTCCCTGCGTGAAGCTCTCGTCGGCAGCGATGGTGTCGATCTTGGTGTGCTTGCCCTCACGGACGCTGCGGCCCAGGTCGGAGTCAGACTCCACGTAGTACAGGTTGAAAGTCTCCTTGCAGCTGCTCGTCACGCCAGGGATGCTGTTGCAGTCCCGCAGGGTGAACTTCAGCTCAATGAAGATCCTCTGGCCGTCACGCCTGGCGATCCAGCCCGTCTGCAGCCAGTTGTTCTGGTTGGGCTCCATGACGTTGCAGACCTGGTACGTGCGTATCGGCTTGTAGGTCTCATCCACGCCACTGATCTCTTCCCACTGGGGACAGAACACAAAGCTCGGGAGCTGGCCCAGCAGAGACACGCCAGACAGCATAAATGTCACTGCCACAAGCCCCCCGCCACAGCCATTATGCTGTAGGCACTGGAAGTCCTCAGCCCACCAAACCCACCAGCTGCAGTAACCCTGCTCCTGGGCCACCCAACAGCTGAGCTCTACAAAGAGGTGCAGACGTGAAAACACAACCAGAAAGGCAGCGCTGGCAGTAGGTCTTGGAAAACAAAGCCTGATTCTGGACACATCATCTGCTGAGGAGCCAGAGCCTTCATCTCCCACACACTCCTCAGATTTTCTGTCCCTGGGAAGGTGCATCCACACAGTGCTGCCACACAGTGTAATGCTGGATGGGGTTGGGCCCCCCAGAGAAATCCAAGATTTCCAAGAAATCCATCTCTAAGGAGATGTGACATCAGTGACACCATCACACGAGGATGTCAAACACCTTCAGGAACAGCAGCAGCTTCTCTGCCAGGAGAAGTTTTAGCTGCAACAGGACAAATCCTCAGACTGCAAGTGAAACAGTGTTCCCCCAAAGCTATCAGCAGAGATTCTGATCAGAGAAATGATGATTCAACCCTCACAGCCTGAATGACGACCTGGCAATTTCCCAAAGCAATTCTTTCTGGGGGTAAATTTATGCAAAACAGTCAAAACATATCCAGAACAGAGTTTCTTCTGCAAACAAACAGCTGTGCCACGCAGATGACTCCAGGACCTATCCCTTTTCTGTCTGAACGCTTTGTTTCCATTCGGGAAAATTAACCCAAAGCTGCAAGGAGCACAACTCCAAGCCTACTGAAAGTGGCTTTAGACCAACACCAGCAGCAAAGCCAGGGGCTGATGAAACAAACATTACATGGCACAGCTCCCAGTGTCCTCCCCAGCCACAGCCCTCGGATTCTAAGGGCTTGACTGACCCTTGGTGCTCATGCTGGTGTGCGATCCACAACACAAAGCCTTAACGAGCCAGTGTTTATTGGCTTGTTTTAGCAGCGTAAAATCCCTTTTGAGGAGGGACCTCACTCCTCGCTCTGCTCCCAGGGACTCTGATCATGCCAAGCTACCCATCGACCTTGCATGAGGAGGTCCCGTGGCTGCCAGCCCCACCCCAGCTCTGTGCAAGCAAAGCTCTCACAGGCAGCACTTCAAACGCTGCTGAGCACCAAGAGGCTGACAGAGCCTTTCACCCTCTCCAGCGGTGCAGAGGGACAGTCCCAGCCCCGTGCTTACCCCGTTCGAGGGGTGTGAGGTCCAGCCCAGCTCCGCCTGCGATTCCTTTGAGTCCAGCAGGACAACTGCAGGGAAGGCAGCATGTTAGGAAAACCACTGACACTGGAAATGCTGGTTTAAAAACAACGCTGGTAAAACCCACCGTGTCCATGCATTGGGAAGCTCAGTGCCATGCTGTGCCATGTCCCAGGGCACGGGAGCAGCTCCCACCCCGGCTCCACCAGCCATGGCACCACCGTGTGAGCACCGAGCGCCACGAAGCTGTCACTGCACACCCAGAACAACCTCGCAGGTGCCTGATCAATGCCCTAAGGACTGTGCAACCCCAGGGACACCGCAGACAGCAATCACTGCCCACAGCGTGCGGATGCTGGAACCGAAAGGTACCAGCAGCTGCTTGGAAAGAGGGATTTCCCTGGCAAACACACCCTTTCCCCACAAAACAGCCAATTCTGTCTTTGACAGGAAGAGCTATTTCCCTCAGTTCACAGCTTCACGATCCTTCCACAGCCAGCAAAGAGCCACAGCCCCGACCGGCAGGTTGAGCCTCGGGCTCAGACACCGGTAACCGGGAGCGAGGGGCGCGGCGGCGCATCCCCGGCGGGCACATCCCTGACCACCGTTCCGGGATGCTCCGAGACACTCTTCTCGCCTCCGGGACCAGTGGGCTCCGTCCGTGGCAGCGCAGTCCCCGCGAACACGGGCCCCAGGGCTCGAACCGTGTCCCTGTCACGGGACTGGCAGCGCGCTGCTCGTGCCGCCGGTGATCGCGGGGACCGGGACACCCCGCGCTGACCCGGTCATTCCACGAGGACCCGTCCGTCCTCTCCCGCTCCTCCGGCAGATCTCCGCGCCCCGGAGAGCGGCGGCACATCCGCGCCACAACCCGTCCGGCCAGCCCCGGAGCGACCCCGCCGCCGAGCCGAGCCCGGTACCGCAACGCGCAGCCCGACCCGCCGCGGGCAACCAAAGCCGGGGCCGATGCGGCCACACCACGCGCCGAGGCAGCCGGGCACGGGGGACACGGCGGTGACGGAGCACCGGGGACACGGCGCGGTCGGGGGCGCGGGAGCGGTGGAGAACCGGGAGGCGCCGCCGCCCCGCCCGGCTCACCCTGCTCGGCGGCGGCGCGGGGCAGCACCGGCAGCAGCAGCAGCGGCAGCAGCAGCGGGCCGCTGCGCGCCAACCGCCGTCGCCGGGGCGGGGCCTCGGCCCGCGCGGCCAATGGGCGGCAGGGGCGGTGCGAAAATGGGCGTGGCCAGGGAGGGGGGCGGTCACTCTGGAGCCGGCTGAGGGAGGGCGGCCCCGCTGAGGGCTCGGGCGCCAGGCTCGGGCACCGGGCTCTGGCACCGGGCGGGCTCCCGAGGGAACACGGGGCCGAGCTGAGCTTTGTGCTGCTGGAACTGCTGCCCAGAGCACGGGCAGCCCTCGCTGATGCCGAGATGCTGCGGCCGCAATCAGCAGCGCTTTGCCCCCTCATCCCCTCAGGGCCCGGGGCAGTCTCATCCCTGCCCTGGCTGCAGCCGATGCCCGGGAATGTCGGTTTTGTCGAGCCCTCTGTCCTGCCTTTCTGTCTTGAAATTTGATTCCCGGCTTCATGTCGAGGTCCTCCAAGCCCAGCAGCTGCTGTGAAAGCCAAAATGCCCGGAGAGAAAGCCCAGGAAAGGCAGCCCGGGCAGGGTCAGTCCTGCCAGAGCCACGCCAGGACAGCGCTGTGGCTGCGGGGCTGCCGGGGCTGGGGGAGGCAATTCTTCAATTCCTGGCTCACCAAAGCCAAGGTATTTGCCACCAGCCTCCTGCATCGGGGAAGGAACTCAACGAGGTTTGATTATTACTAATTGTAGGTCTTGCAGGTTCTTGCAGAGTTGAGTCAGGCTGAATGCCTGCCAGTTTTCCCCCTGATGGCGGATACTGCGATACCAAAGCAAACATTTATTCCTGTGGGTTGTTCTTTTTTGCTGTGGCTATGTGTCAGATGTAAAATATTGCAGGTGTGAAGTAAAAGCATTGAGCCTCCATCCAGCACAGCCCAGCCAGGCTCTGGTAGCCCATGCCCACAGGAATTGGTGCTGGAGCTCAGGCCAAGCCCAGCCGGACATTTGGAACCAGAGGATATTTCCAGCTCTCCATTTCTCAGCTCTTTTGCAAGCACGGTCATTACCTTTCCTCTCTGTGTTAACTTTACTGGGGAGAAAGTTCCCATCCGTTTATCAATGTTCTTCCCATCTAGGACAGCTCAGCGTGGATCAGTGCTGTGTGTGCTGCTGCACCAGCCCTGCAGCCCAGGAGCTCCTGGTGAGACCAGGAACAGCCGTGCTGACTGGGGGCTCGTGTTCATTCCATCAAAACCCTCCCTCCTTCATGTTACAGAGCAGGGAAGCAAAAGACAGGGTTTATTTATAATCTTCCTCAAGTGGAAACCAAAAGAAGTGACCCGTTATTACTGAAGATTTCTCAAGCCACCCAGGAAGAAAAATGATATTTAGTTGTCGTTAAAGGCTTAGAACTGCATAACAATTTCATGCTATGTTAACTTCTAGGTTTTCTTTCGCATATAAATTTTTAAGGAGTAAAATAGGAAAACCCAGGCACTTGACCTTTAATCACAGTTATTTGTGTGATCAGTCAAGTGTGGGAAAAAGCTAGTTTGTGCTTGAAAGATGCCCTTTAAAGGCAGATTGCTCTAATATGACACACAACTCTCACAGTGTAATATGCAGGATCTGGCTTGCCTGCCTCCAGGCACAGCAGCTTCCTTTTAGTATTCACACACTGGGTCTTGCTGCTGGGACAGTGGAAGGTATCAATATCATGAAGCAAATCAATCCAGACCCCTGGGACAGCTCCATTCACCACCGAGCTCCACAGGCATTTACACTTTCCTGCCACTGAGGAGCCAAGCAGGGAAGAGGATTTTGGAAGTATATGGAGGATTTGATGTTAGATATGTTTTACTAGAAGAAGAGTCTGTCATGTTAAAAGCACACAGCTTATCCATTTATCTGAAATATTATTCCAAGCACTTATAAAATCTTGAACAGCCGGAGGTATTTTAATTAAGATTTTAAGTATCATGCTTTGGGAAAATGATCTCATGAATTTTGTTTCAGCAGCAGCAGATGACAAAGTCATGGCTGGTGTGAAGAAAACAGAGAAACAGAGCAGCCTTTAATGGTTTCTTCTGCATTTCCTCACAAGCCCAAGCCACACCAGGGACAGGATGGAGGGATGCAGTCCCTGGGATGGCACAGCCCACCAGCTCCTTGAGGGGCACAACAAGGGGCCAGTATTTGCAGGTGAAGGAAGAGGAACACCAGGTTGTCTGGTCACCTCTGCTGCTCACATCCACCTCTGGGGCTGCTGCCCTTCCCCACTCCTGCCTGGAGCCTGCAGAGACAGGAGCAAAGGGAAAGCAAAGGCATCGGGTCAGCCAGGCTCCAGATTGTCAGGGAAACTTGTGCAAAGAGCAGGGCTAGCCCAGAAAATGTGTAATTGGCCAAGTTGAGCTATTACCTGCTGTAAGTGGAGACAGAAAGATAGTTTTGACACCACAGTGAAAATAACCCTCCTGGAAAAAAAAAAAAATCAATACAAACACCAAGGAAAGAGAATCAGAAACCAAGACCATCAATTCCTGAGATAAAGAGAGCTGAAAGTCTCAGTGGGAGGAAGCCAGATCTGTACTGAAAAACAAAACT